TAAAATCCTTATTCGCATCGTTATGAAATCACTGTCAGTTATGCCTCAATGTTTTAGAAATTAATTCCAAATTGGATCAAATGCGAATAATATTGCACCACAAAACATTAATTAGATTCTATTTCTCATTAGAACATTCGTTACAAAAAAATTAATAATTTTACTGCGAAATAAAATAAAAAGCAGTTAAAAACAGATAGCCGAGACACTCAAAAGCTGCCAAACTATGGGCTGGGACAGACGAACGACTTTGTGGTGCAATAAACAAACGTCAACCTATTCACACACAAGCATAAAGTCTATGAATATATCGCTTGTTTTTCGCGCCACAAAGTTAATCGTCTATTCAAGCCCTAACGCGTACAGCTTATGGCAGATGCGCGACGCTTGGAGTGAGGGAACCGATATCGAGATAACAAACGGTATAAGAAATATAATCTAATTAACGTTTTGTGGTGCAATATTACTCGCATTTGATCCAATTTGGAATTAATTTCTAATTCATTGAGGCATAACTGACAATGATTTAACGATGCGAATAAGGATTTTATTCATATTTCAACATTGAAATATATGAATAAAATCCTTAATAAAAAATTCTTAAAAAATATACCAATTTTTCCTTAAGTCTGGCGTTAAATATATACATATATTTCATTTTATAACGTCTTTCGCCGTTGTCCGATAACCTCTCGTACGTATATCTCCCAGTGAGAAATGACAATGAAATCGATGTCGACGTCGAATCGACATCGATTCAATGTCGATTCCATTATCATTTCTCACCGGGCTGTGGTGCGCACGCAGGTTGTACACAGAGACATACGGGACCTACAATTTTAAGGGTGATATTTCATTTGTGCATTTTTGTTGTACGACAAATTTTTCAAGCCTGTTGATTAGTTATAGGATAGAGAGATCCGAGGACCTCTCTATCCTACACACATTTGTCGTACGACGAAAACGTACAAATGAAATAGCACCCTAACGCCGGTTCTGAACGGCAGTTTTTGAAAGGCTCTCTTGGCAATAGATATTATATCTTGGTGGTTTACCGGACCACCGAAGAGAAGTTACGAGAACGTGAAAATTCTTGAATCTGCTTGGGATCGAATCCGGGATTTCTGGCATAGTCTACTACGCCATATTCGTGCTCAAGTCTGACGTTATTATAATGATTATTTTCGATTTCTACGAAGAAAAATACATAAGAAAACATACAAATAAAACGATCCCCGAGTGGTCAAAAAACCCTCAAAAATTTGTACCCTCCTTTTTAAGCAGTTCTCTGTGATGCAGTTCATTGTATGTATATATTTTAATCAATTAATTTTCTATGTATATTTATATTATCTTAACTCTTTGAAGCTGTCGGTGGATCTATTGGACCCACTTAATTATAAATCTCTGTCAAAAAAATCAAATAGTTCAATTTTTTTTATGTTATATCAGCGAAAAAATTATTCTTATTAAATATATTTACAATCAATATTTATTCTTTTTTGTACTAGTTATGTCCTTTTAATTTTTTAAAATTAATTAGCCTTTTAATTAACATAAACTAAATGAATCTTTCAGACTTAGCACTAGTAATAATGCTGTTACAGATTGTTACGTCAGCTCCAAAGGAAAAAAATAAATATTCTTTTACATTTCAAGGCACCAGAATAAGAGGTATCTAAACCAGCCATCGAACAGCCTATGTGGAAAATAATACGCTCAAAGTATACGTGTACATACGCATTTATGTGTGTATAATATATCAAAAATTGAACGAAACCACCGCGTGTATATATATATTCGTAATGTAATAATGCACAATGGCGTGTGACATATTAATGTGTAATATATTCTTCTCACGAGAGCGCTATGACTGTTTAAAGCGTCACAACGTCCTCTGCATGATCTCTCCGCGTTATGATTTACGCAGTGATCGACGACGCGCTGTTCCGGTAAATTGAATGAATTTATACACTAGTAAATGGTAGAATAAATAAAATATTTATGATAAATAGAGAGGAAGATGTTTAGATATATGTAAAAGAATACAGCAGCACATCCAGTTACTTCATCCCTATTACGTTCCCGCTGTTATAGATATAACAATCGCGCGTGTACGAGTATAATATAATTGTTCGATCGTCGGTGTCTTAATATTCTCTATAGGATACATTTCGAAAATTTTAATCAAACTTGCGCGAAAACGAAAATATAAAAAACAAGAAATTATATGATTGTCCTTGTCATGTAACCACTTCCAATTAGATTAGAGGGAATGATTATACTTTGTTGCGGTGCCTAATTACGTGACGAGTGTAGGTTTATACTCGACCTTTTCACTCGTTCAATAACTTAGATTGTTTTATGATATCAGAAATAAAGAAACATTTTGTTACCTACTTATGGTTGTATGCAATGTATTACTTTATTCTTTGTTAAGACTGACTTTTATATAGGAATTTCTTGTGTCTTTTCATTAGTTTATCGATAATTTGATGTAAATGCAAGGCTTATTATTTAATGTACGGCAACATATTATTTGATCTATTTGTGCGCAACTGCATCAACTAATATATGTATTTAAATTGTTAATCGTATTTAAAATAGAATTTCAAAAACTCTTGTTTATATCTTCGCTAAACTTTGACAATTCGTCGTATTGCAAAACTAATTGTAAGATTTTCATGCCAATGCGCGAATTATACATACAATGAGTACAACGATGTATATGTAATATATCTTTTAAACGCAATGTATAGACGGGTATGTACTCAAAATTATATTATTGTTAATCGCATTGTGTTAAAGAGGAAGACATAAATTATTATGATGTAAAATGTAAATCACGCGATGTAACATTGTTCGTATACACATCGATAATGGGTACTGTTTGTAGATAAAAGTGAATAAAGCTATAAATTATTTAATTTAATCTTTAATTCCAATATAACACTCTTTACTCTTTTATTAAATGCTTTATTTCTTCCCACCATTAGTTATAAAAATGTTCTAATAAAACCTTTACTAACGAATAATTTAATATGTTTTCTGTTGTAATAATGATATTATAATACATATAATATAATAAAGAACATTACATAATTTTAATTAACTGAATTTGATATTTTATAGAAATTCCAGCTAAATAAAATTAAATCTCTCATTGTTCTCACAATTATATACCAATAAATTGTTTCATGTGTTTTACTGTTTATACGTTATTATGTTTATGCGTTATTATAGGTACGTGTCTTATTGCTCGTTACATTTTACATATCACGAGTATACCACGAAAATGCAAACAAAAAAATATATAATTATATTTGAATTTATGTTAATACATTGATTTATATTAACATACTGATTTATATCAATATTATAATTTATATCAATATTAAATTTATATTTAAAGCAAAATAAAAACGAGTGTTACAAAGTTTTTCAATATATCCATATATCCATATAAATCGTTTGCTTAAAATTTTTTATATCACATAATACACATTTTGCGTGAACGCGTAAACGTCTTTAATACATAGATATTACGTGATGACGTCAAATTGCGCGGATAAAACGTGACGTGTATTGCTCGGTCGAAATAAAATTTCTCGTTGCCTCCGTTGCCTCCGCTTTTACGGCCCGCATAATCGTAGCTGTAAAGACCAACGGCGCCATGATAAGTCAAACGCGGCCAGAATAATCGTTTCACGCTCCTCATTTTACATGGAAATATCTGCATCGCTTCATTTCGGTAATATTATCTACGTGCACTTCATATCCGACAAAAATATCGAACTTAACTTTTTCATTATACTTTATTTAGCATATAATTCTTAGCTAAAATTAAGTATTTTTGAATTGTTTAAAGTCCGTGTAAAACTAGAAATTGAAATTGAAAATTGCATTAGAATTTGACCAATCAAAGCAAAGTTCACTAAAGCTGATATTAGTTTTCTTTCTTCTGGTCGGTTAAATCCCAATTCCATTTCAATCTCAATCTCTAGTTTGATACAAGCTTATGAGTTAAGGAGGTTGTAAGGCTGAGGGGGGCAGTGAGAGGGGAATGCTTTAATACAAAAGAAATATGGAGTGTAGCCAACATTTGAACATTAAAATTTGAAGAAATAAATAGCTAAAATTTAAA